TAACTCATTAATAGATAATCAATTGATTTTAATTACGATTAAATTATTTTGCTTGACTTATATTGTTCGTTTCACACATTGGTAGACCGATAAATACATATGCATTTATCATTTAGATGCATATAAGTATATGACCTCTTTACTTGTGTGCCACTTTTCATATGTCTTATACTATAGTTTCAAAGTGTACGACTGAAAAGAAGATAGAGAAGATATGAGTTAGTGGGTATAAATTTTCATAATTCATGAATACAAAAGTTTTTAATTTATAATCGATTATATATTCTTTCATTGAACGATCAATCCTATGACATTTCGAGTACGAGACGTTATCGTTCATTCAGCGAATTTATTGTGATTTGCTTACTTAGCCTTCTCTTCAATTACGATCACATCTGTGATTAAAGCTCGAGGAGTTAAACCCTTTTAATAGAAATGAATAGAATTCAATAGATGATTAAATCTCCAGGATTTATCTCTTTTTTTCGATACTTAAGGTCGATGTACGATTAAAAGGTAACATAGTATAGATAATACATCAGTATCTTTGTAACTGTAAACCTTATCAATCAATAATTTGTTTGATAACTTAATTGACTTTTAGTTAAACTATATTTATTTTCAGTATGGATATTGACACTAGATTTATTTGTATGTTCATCGGATCATATTCGACAATATGTTCCAAGATATAGACAAGATTATATGAAAGATTATAATTGTAATTTAATATTGAAACTGTTGTAATTGTACAAAAGATAATTGTTTATATTGTGTAAAAAAATACTGTTTTGATAATTTTAATAATAAATATTCTTTTTTTATGTATTAAGTACAAAGCAATAATAATAATAATAATATTATTGAAAAATGCAAGTTGAATAATAATTTTCACATTATTATATCAAGATATGAAAATTTGTTAGAGTAATAGATACAAAAATTTAGTCCATTGCATATATTTGAAAAAAAAATTCTTCAACTTTTTCAAATTTAATAAGTTTATACGATAGAAAATATTATGTTAAACGAGTGGTTAAGAAAGTTTACAACAGTGATATTAAAAAGCAAATTCATAATATCCGCTTTTAAACGGAAATATACGTATTATACACGTAAAGTTTAAAATAGTAATAAAAATAATTACATTGGATATATAATAGCGTTATGAAAATAATAATATACATTTCGAAAATTGTGGAACAATCGAGAAACAGATGATCCTTGATATAATAATACATTGTATGAAAATACATATGTATAATAAATTGAGTAAAATTTAGTAAGTTGAAATGAAAAAAAACCTGATTTTTCAAGAAAATCAAGTTTAAGAATTTAAAAAAATATTGAATCCGTACCTTAACCTTCTTTCGCATGACGATTCGTGAATATGGATATCGATTGTATACATATAACCAGAAAGCGATTCTTGTGAAATTTAGAATTGCAATTTCAATTCGTATATCTTCGATCGATTTGTTTGTCTTTCGAATCTTCGATAATTTTAATCGAACTGAAGTTGCTGATAAATCATAAAAAAATAAATAGCCTTATACGACATCTACACGAGTCGCTCATTGACAATAAGTTAAACAAGGACAGTGCTGCGAAATTAGATACTGCATCGGATGAATACCTTATGCCGCGTCCACACGGACGCTGTTCACGGACAACTCGCGAAACATGATCGCTAGCAGTGTGGACATTTCAACAAACTACGAGCAGGTTATAATGAACTCGTCTGCGAACAGCAAAGCAATGGCGGTACGTTATTTCAATATATTTGAATCGTATCCGATATTTGGTAATATTGACATATTTTATAATGAAAATAAATGATTTGTTTGAATCAAATGAATTTAAATACGCAATGGCATAATTATAGAATAAAAAATATGGAATTAGAATTTAATATAGAATAATTTTGTTGACTGTTGAATTTAATTATAAAATGTATTACTGAAATACCAGTTTTTCAATAGACAATGGATCTAAAAATAACAACTGCTGCAAATGTTCTTCGCTTAAAAGATTTCTTGTTTATTATTAAACATTTATTACGTTACTATTTTTTTAATTTTCATCTAAGGCTCGCGGAAAAATATTTATTAAGATTACTTTTATTTATTACTTTTGTTTTCAGATAACAGATTGGAAAAGAAATTGAAAACTAATCGCAAATTTTATGAGATGATGATGATTATTTCCTTCGCTTATTATATTACAGCGATTCTATCGAAATTTCGAATATCTATAAATTAAGTATACTCGATATTAGAATACATCTTAAATATCGAAATATATATCGTAATATATTCGAAATATTGATATTGTATTGTCCATCATTAGTAATCGTTTGGAAGGCACATCAAAGAATTTATTCGTAAGAATATACGTGTTGTAATCTCAATTTAATCTTTTTAGAATTGAGCTGTTTGCAAGTTTTAATGCGAATAAGATATTTTTGCTGTTTTCGAATAGTTCACGAAAAACTACTGTCGTCATATAGATGTAACATAATAGTCGGATATAACGAATTTCGTATGAAAGGAAGCTTATTATAACCTGCTTCGTTCAAGTAACTTGATTTACAGTTACAGCTGTTTGTGCTTGCAAACACAATATTAAAATTTTTAACTTTCTGATAATTTATTTATTGTAAATAATATTAAATAATTTATAATAATAAATCAAAATTGAATTTAATTAAATTGAAAGCTAATATTGAGGAGTTTATATAAGAAGAATTTGAATTCATTATTGGAATTTCCTCAATTCGCTAATCAATAACAAGAGTAATATTTTCAATATTTAAATAATAATATTAATAAATTAAAAACTAAATAAATTATTACAATATACTTTTCAAAATTATATTAAAAAATTTATTAATTTATAAATTAACACGGACAAGATACGAGGCTAACTAAATTGAATCTAAATCCATCCAACAAATTTTCAAATATAACTTTCTCGAAAATGGATTCTCGTGTAAAAAAATTTTATTCAATATTTTTATTTTTGTCATCTTCGTTTCGATCGTACTATAATATAATATAATATAAACTAAAACTACTAAATCAATCATTTGTTTAATCAATTTGATAATTCGTATATTATTACTTAATTTAAAAAAAAAAAAACAAAAACTTTTCGATATACAGTTAAACGATTGATTTTTACAAGATTGATAATCTCTTTCGACCAGATACCTTGAGAAAAGTAGAACGCGATAAAGAAACAATACTCGATAATTTTATCGAGATCCATGCATATCGACTTGTATCGATTTATATTTTTCCCTCGAGTAATCTTAACAAGAGCAATGAACCGAATTCTCGATAAGCGATTAAGATTTGACTCGCGAAAGGAGTCATAACATCACGTTTGATCATTCATGAAATTACCTAAATTAACAGATTCGATTGTTCGAGTTCTATTTTATCTTTTGATCAATAATGGACCCCCCTCTTTCCATTTCTTTCGCTTGATTTCGTTATTAACCTGTGAAACTCGAATCACGGGTGTATAGAGGAAAGGATTCGATTTTTCATTGCTTCGATAGATATCCGGAGCAAAAGTGCAGAGTACCTGAAACGAGCATGATAAAAATAGAAATTTACGTTAAATATATACTCGCATTGTTATACAAGTGTTATACGGTTAATAACGCGAGGAAAGTTGAGAAAACTGAGTTCTCCTGAGTTTTACAGTCGATCGAGAAAAACTTGAGCGCGATGCTTTCCGATCGATCGATGAATTAAAATCGAAGAAATCTCGTTATATGTAACGGATGAAATATTTCGCCATATTTTCTTTAGAAATAATTTAATCGAAAAATTTGAGATTAAAAATTCGTTTATAAGATATTTGATGGAGATCAAGAATGATAAATATACATTGTATTTTTGCAAATTAATTTTTTTATTTTTTTTTTAAATACAATTGATCGAAGGTAATATATAAATAAATATTTTTGTTGTTCCCTAAAAACATTATTTAAGATGCGTCGCAAAAATAATAGATAATAATAGACAATGCAGAGAAATTATAAATATGTTTGCAAAATATAATGTTTTATTAATGAATAAAAGATACGTGAAAAATACACAGCATCTTATAATTATATTATTATTGCGATATGAGATATTTCCTTTGTATTATTAAAAAGCATCTCATTCATTAATCGCGAAAAAATTAATAAAAAGTTCACCATTCAACGCTGTTCAACACTTCAGAAATAAATGTCTCTCAATTCTCAAAACAAAACTGCTTTATCGCGACTCAATCTCGCGAATTAAAATAGAAAGAAATATCAACAGAATTAATGATCGATGGTTGGTAATTCTTTTTTTAAAAAAAAAAAAAAGTGACCGGGATGTTATCTTGGTCAACCCAATTAGCTACGAAATCAAAGATAATGCAATAAAGTTGAGGGGGAGACGCTTGAAACTGATAGGGACAAGTATATAAAATGCAAGTGTACGCTTGCCGCGGCGCAGATCGCGAATCGAAGCGGGAGCCGTGCCTCCCGCTCGTGGCCAATAACAATCGTCCTTTCACGTGTGGAATTCGAAGCTCTACCAAGGCTGTTCACCTGTTTTTCTCCTCTTTCTTATCGTTCCTGTCGCGTAAGTTACTACTACTGGCCTACGGAAAAATAGATAATTATAAATTTCTCCTCGACAGAGAAGATGTATGTATGCATCTTCTGATTAAACTCCACTTTATTGATAATTTTCTTTTCTTCTCTCTAACATTATATAGCGTTAACGCATACGCAAGAAAGAAAGAGAAAGAAAAAAAGATGTTGACGTGTTATGTGACCGCTGTGCAATACGAGTGGATGAACAATCGTGAACGGCACGGATCGAATTTTGACTCGCGATGCAAAACGATCAGTGATCGGTATAAAAATATACATATACATATATACATATACATATATATTTGTGAATATTCCTTCTTCTTTCGGAAGATAAAGTCTGATCTCGTTGCAGAAACAGTGTGAACGTCGAGGGAGCAACCCACAAACAGGTGGTGGATTTGATAAAGTCAGGGGGCGACGTGTTGACGTTGACAGTCATCTCTGTTACGCCGCAAGAAGCGGAAAAGCTCGAACCGTTCGAAGACTTGAGGTACGAAAATTTGATTTTTTCTTCTCTCATCGAAATAAAATTATTAAAGTAAGATTATATATACTCGAACGAATATTTCCTTCGTCCCTTTCTAATTTTATTCCGCTTATTGCATTTATTAACGCGTCTTAACTTTCTCTTAGTTATGCATCGGTGGACTACAGCGAAAAGCGATCCCTACCCATCAGCGTACCGGATTATCACGTCCGTGAGAGGAAACACGAACGTTACGTCGTTTTCAACGTTCACATGGCAGGCAGACATTTATGCTCTCGACGTTACCGGGAATTCGCCGCTTTGCACATGGCTCTCAAAAAGGAATTTATCGGATTCAACTTTCCCAAATTACCTGGAAAATGGCCATTCCAGTACGATCAGAATTTTCCATTTAATGATACATAATTTGTGTATATATATATGTATATCGTGTAATTTTTAGATTGAGCGAGCTGCAACTCGACGCGAGAAGGCGCGGTTTAGAACAATATTTGGAAAAGGTTTGTGCCGTAAGAGTAATTGCCGAAAGCGATATCATGCAAGAATTCTTGGCTGATAGACTCGAAGAAGATGGTGATCAAGGGCCAGCAGTCGATTTAAAAGTACTGTTGCCGGATCGCGAGGTTGTTACTGTTACAGTTGCTAAAGCGGCCTCTGTCAGTGATGTGTACGATGCAGTTTGCAGTAGAGTGGGATTGGACGCAGAAACGGCGAAATACTTTTATCTTTTCGAGATCGTCGAGTACAATTTCGGTACGTATTCTCGAATATCGTTTTACATATATATATATATATATATATATACACATTATACATATACATTATACATATATTATACATTATATATATATATATATATATATATATATATATTATACATTATTATACATATTATGTATATTATTATACATTATTATACATTACATATATATATATATATATATATAATGTATATATATATGATATATATGTATATGTATAATGTATATGTAATATATATATATATATATGTGTATGTATGTATATATTATAATATATTATATATATAATGTATATATATATAGGATCATTTCGTACGGCCAACTATATTACTCTTTAAAAAAAATATATATATATATTCGCTTTGTAGAAAGGAAACTGCAACCCCACGAGCATCCCCATACTTTGTACGTTCAAAATTACTCGACCGCCAGTGTGACGTGTTTAGCAATAAGAAGGTGGCTTTTTAACTTAAATAGACCGCTCAGCGAGCAAGCGTTAACTTGGATATTTTGGCAAACGGTGGACGAAGTGAACAGGGGGCATATCACGGCAGGAGAAAGATTATACCAGTTGAAAGCGTTGCAAGACGCGTCCAGGAAACACGAGGTACAAGAGAGCAATTCCTTTTCCAAAATATATTTTATATATACTCGTAATTTATAATTCGTATTTTACAATTATTCGTAAGTATTTTACAATTATTCGTGTATATTGTTTTAATTCTTTTGTCCGCAGTATCTAAAATTGGCGAGAGAATTGAGCGGTTATGGTGATATCGTGTTCCCTCATTGCGCATGCGATTCGCGCAAGGAAGGACACGTTGTCCCCGCTGTAGGTGCACCAGCATTTAAGCTGCACGCGGCGAAGGAGGACGGCACTTTGGAATCTCAAGTTGTCGAATTTCAATGGAATACTATTACACGATGGGAGGTGGATGAAGAAGGGATGGCGTTCTGCTTTCAATATACGCGTCAAGATAACCGTCCACCGCGTTGGCTCAAGCTTTTCACACCTTATGTAAGTAATTGGTTTGTCTCTTTCTGTTCTTTTCTTCTTCTTCTTCTTCTTCTTCTTTTTTTTTTTTTTGTTTTTTTTATTTGTTCAAAAAATGAATTTCAAAGATATTGCCACTGTAAATTAACTATAATCATTTCGTTTTGTATCACAGGCCAATTTGCTATGACTCATTCTGTTTAATACGGCCGTCGTGTACATCCTCATAATTATCAGATGATGTGTTTTATTAAGGCATCGTATATTATTTTTCTTTTTTGTTTAATTGGAAATCCTATTTCTTTTTCTTTTTTTTCTTTTATATTAAATTCAATTGTTTTGTTTTTTCTCATTATTTGTAATCAGAAGAACTCAATGTTTTGTTCGCAGTACACGTTCCTGTCGGATTGTTTCGATCGAATAGCCGAGGAAGGAAAATGGGACGATCCAGGAGAATGAAGAAACGTTCGGCGTTAAAAAGAAAGAAAGAAAGAAAGAAAAAAAGATATTCGGTGCATAATAGCAAAGGTATCGTTTCATCGAGGTATCATTTCATTTATCTAGCAAGGACTTTTTGATTAGGATTACTTTTTTATGGCGATTTAAATATCAATAAGACGCTCTGATCATAATCTCGCTTTGTTCAATCAACGATGCATCGTTATGTATTATTATATATTGTTGTTTTAGTTATAATGTTATAAATACGAAATACAAAGGTAATCGAAAATCAACAATTTTTCTGTTCTAAAGTGAAATAGAGATTGACATTAAACTTGTCAAACTTGTCCAATCGATGAAACACTTTTATCATTAGATTAGATTTTATTTAAAGAAAAGCAAATTTACTTTTAATAGCAATTATTAAGAGGGCTAAGATATTGTTACGTTATCCTAATCATCTGTCTAGATGAAATCTATTTTCTTGGCCTATCGTTCACGTAGAAGTGTATTAAATTAAATCTCGAACAAGAGAATCACTGAATCACCGGAGTCGTTCCTTTTTTACTAGCCTAATAGTTATCGCCAATTTTCATTAGATTCCGAACGCAAATGTATCAACTTAACCAAGAAGTATTATCTTTCAAATTACGATTCGATTCCTCTCACGTTCTGTACGTAAGTTTTTTTTTTCTTTTCTTTTTTTTTTCCTCTTTTCTAAAATCTTTTCAACAATCTGTCCGTCTTCTTTCCTACGTTAAACAATTTTATATATATATATATATATATATATATATATATATATATATATAGAGAAATAGGTTGTCGCAATATACATTTCATGTTATTCGTATGAAAAAAGAAAAAGAAAAAAATAAGCGTAATAGAGCAGAATAGCACAGATACATACTTTTTCCCGAAGCTATATTTTTATTATTAAAGATGCAGAAATAAATAAAACAGAATTGTTCTCTGATCCGATCTCCGATATCGTAATCGATAGTATGTACAAATGGATGGATGTGCTAGAGGTGTGAAAATAAATCGAAACGTTAATTCGAATTTAAAGAGAAAAAAAAAAAAAAAAAAAAAAA